GAACCACCGTAACTTTTGTCATATTACAGTCGTCACTAAACCTTGATCACTATACTAAAACGCTTAATGACATAGATCAAACATGGATGAGTTGTATGGAAATTGCATGAATCTTGATCTCATTTTCAACTTATCCTTCTTTATTCTTAAAGAAATCAATCTATAATTCTTATTGTAATGTAAACATATCACATTAATAGATTTTGAAATAAATAAATGACCATGAACTTTATTTTGCAAAAAACTAAATAGTTCAATACCTCAAGTAGAATAAAACTAACATGGAAAAGACTCCACTAAACCAAGGTAAAATCTAAAAGAACACCAATTTAAGCGGTGGATATGCTCATGATAAACCTAAGAATGTCTCATTTAGGTGTTAGTGGATCTTCTAGCATATAATTTGTTTCTCTGTGTTTTATACTAATCTATTTATTCTGAATTTTTTCTTTGACAACTACAAACTTTATATAAATGAATTTTGATTTCGTAGAGCTTCTATTGTCTTTAGAGTGAAGTACAATTGCTTTATTATCACAGTAAATCCTTAGTGGCCTTTCAATGCCATCTACTATACACAACCCATTGATAAGGTTTCGGAGCCATATCTGATATCCCTTAATTTGATGCTTCATAACCGGCAATGAACTCTACCTCCATGGTTGAAGGAGCTATAAGGGTCTGTTTGGCAGACTTCCATGAACTGGTTCCTTCTGCTAACATAAAGATGTAACCTGACATGGAGCAACTGTTATCTTTGCAACCCGCAAAATCAGTTAGAATACCTGAGAACCTCCAAATTATCTGATTTCCAATACGTGAGCATATAGTCCTTTGTTCTCTATAAATAACACATCATGCACTAAAAAAATGCAGATTATCAGCGAGGGAAAATTCTCTCGCAAATCCGTTGTCATACTCCGCTAAAGCGGAAACGCGAGGTATGGCAGGTAGAGTCTCATAGCAATAGTGTATAAACAACACAACCATACTATTTAAAACATAAATACATCATAACCAAAGTTTACAATCCCAAATACAAGTTTACAAAATAAACACAAAAGAAATTTTGAAAGCGATGATTGTGACACGGCTTCTATTAAGTGTCACCATGAGTCTTTCTTACCCTAAAAAAGCACGGCAAAACAAGTGTCAACTACAAGAGTTGGTGAGTTCATAGGTTTTATATTTAAAACACTAGAACTTAGTGTTTTATATAAATTGGGTATAAATTAGAGCATTTGGTACTGTATGGGACATTTCAGATAATTTCGGGTCAGAACCGGACTTTCTAAGCAACTGCCGGAATCTCTAGAAATTTTTCGACCAAACTAACCTAACTAATTCCTAATCTTATAAATTATCTTCAGTAACATTAATACAAACTTAATAAGAGCTAACCTGTGAGTTCAAATTTGACGGCTGTCACAGTCTCCCCTTGTTAGAGAAATTTCGTCCCGAAATTTAATGATTGCAACTTCCGGACAGTTCTATCGTGAATAGTTGGGGATATCTGTTCTTCATAAAATCTTCTCGCTCCCAGGTATACTCCGGCCCATGCCTTGAGTTCCAACGAACTTTCACGATTGGTATGTTGCTACGCCTCAATCGCTTGATCTCACGGTCTAGAATTTCAATTGGTTCTTCTATAAGGCGTAACTGTTCGTTGACTTGGATCTCTTCCAAAGGAAGGACTAACGATTCTTCTGACAGACATTTCTTGAGATTCGATACATGGACGGTGTCATGAATGGCATTGAGCTCTTGCGATAGATTGAGTTTGTAAGCAACTGGTCCCACCCTTTCCAGTATCTTGAACGGACCAATATATCTTGGACTTAATTTTCCTTTCTTCCCAAAACGTAATAGCCCTTTCCATGGTGATACCTTTAATAACACTTGATCTCCAACTTGGAATTCTAGTGGCTTCCTACGGTTATCCGCATAGCTTTTCTGGCGATCTCTGGCCGCTTTTAACCTTTCTTGGATCGTCTTGATCTTGTCTGTTGTCTCCTGAACAATGTTTGGCCTAGTTAATTGACTATCACCAACTTCCAACCAGTTGAGTGATGATCTGCACTTGCGTCCGTAAAGGGCTTCGTACGGCGCGCACTGTATACTCGTATGATAGCTATTGTTGTAGGAAAATTCAACCAGCGGTAGGTGATCATCCCAGCTACCTCCGAATTCTATCACACAAGCACGCAGCATATCCTCTAATGTCTAAATAGTCATTTCCGTTTGCCCATCGGTTTGAGGATGATAAGAAGTACTTAAATCTATCCTTGTGCCCATCGCCTTTTGTAATGATTTCCAGAATCGCGAGGTAAAACGGCTATCTCTGTCTAAAATGATTGAAACAGGTACTCCATGACGCATAATGATCTCGTTGACATACAGTTGTGCGAGCCTTTCTAAGTTGAAATCTTCTCGAATAGGTAGAAAATGTGCGGATTTCGTGAGTCGATCCACAATTACCCAAATCGAGTCATGCTTATTTTTGGTTCTGGGTAATTTGGTCATGAAGTCCATCGAGATCTGCTCCCACTTCCATTCTGGGATTTCTGGTTGCTGTAGGAGACCGGATGGTTTCTAGTGTTCCGCCTTGACTCTCGCACAAGTCAAACATTTACTCACGTATAGGGCCACATCTTTCTTCATTCCTGGCCACCAATAGTGCTCTTTTAATCCTTTGTATATTTTATCCGTTCCTGGGTGGATTGAGTAACTCGATTGCTGTGCTTCATCCATGATTGTCGATCTCAGATGGTCGACCTTTGGAATCCATACTCTATCTTTAAAGTAGCGTATCCCATCTGATCGTACTTCAAACTTTTTCTCTACTTGATGCAGGGTCTCGTCCTTCAGATTTTATGCTTTCAGAGCTTCTTTTTGGGCTTCGAGAATCTGAGCCTTTAAGCTTGTTTGTACCAACATTCCCATAGCTCATGCTCTCGATGGATTCACTCTTTCTTTCCTGCTCAGAGCATCTGCTACAACGTTAGCCTTTCCTGGGTGGTACTTTATTTCACAATCGTAGTCGTTGAGTAATTCGACCCATCTCTTCTTCCTCATATTCAGCATCTTCTGATCAAGAATGTGTTGAAGGCTTTTGTGGTCGGTGAAGATAGTGCATCTTGTTAATGTGTTGAAGGCTTTTGTGGTCGGTGAAGATAGTGCATCTTGTGCCATAGAGATAGTGTCTCCAGATTTTGAGTGCGAATACACTGCTCCAAGTTCCAGGTCATGGGTGGTGTAATTCTTTTCATGGATTTTTAGTTGCCTCGATGCGTACGCAATAACTTTGTCCTTCTGCATCAATACGCACCCCAGTCCTTGATGCGAGGCGTCGCAGTACACCACAAAGTTATCTGTTCCCTCTGGTAATGCTAGAATCGGCATATTACACAACTTATGCTTAAGTGTCTGAAATGCTTCTTCCTGCTTCTCGCCCCAAATAAATTTCTTATCTTTCTGCGTTAGGGTCATCAGTGGTTGCGCGATCTTGGAGWAGTTTGCAATGAATCGCCTATAATAACCTGCCAAACCAAGAAATTGACGAATCTCCGTTGGTGTCTTTGGGGCTTCCCACTTCTTGATAGCCTTGATCTTAGCTGGATCAACATGGATTCCCTTCTCATTGACTACATGGCCCAGAAAATGCACTTCACGAATCCAAAATTCGCATTTGGAAAGTTTGGCGTACAACTTTTCCTTCTKGAGCAATTCTAGGATCAACCTTAAATGTTGTTCATGCTCCTTCTTATCTCGTGAGTAAATCAATATATCATCTATAAACACAATCACGAACTTGTCTAGCTACGGTCGGCAAACTATGTTCATCAAATCCATGAAGACTGTCGGAGCGTTTGTTAATCCAAAAGGCATGACTAGAAACTCGTAATGACCGTATCGACTCCTAAACGCCGTCTTAGCAATGTCTTCTTCGCGAACTCTCATCTGGTGATATCCTGAACGAAGATCGATCTTTGAGAAGTACGTAGCACCTTGTAGTTCATCAAACAAGTCGTCGATTTGAGGAAGGGGGTAACGGTTTTTGATGGTCAGCTTGTTGATTCTCTGTAATCAATGCACATCCGGAAAGATCCATCATTCTTTTTGACGAAAAGAACCGGAGCTCCCCAGGGTGAAGAGCTAGGYCTGATGAATCCTTTATCGAGCAGCTCTTGTAGTTGTTCTAATAATTCCTGCATCTCCGATGGTGCTAATCGGTAAGGCGACTTTGCCACGGGTGCAGCTCCGGGAACTAAATCAATATGAAACTCTACTTGTCTGTGCGGGGGTAATCCAGGTAATTCATCTGGAAATACCTCARGAAAATCTCGCACTATCGGGAGATCCTGAATACGCTTCTCTTTGATCTCCCTATCCACAACATGTGCCAATAATGCAACGCAATTTTTCCTCATGTAATTTCGCATTTTCATACATGTCACTATTTTAAGATCCCTCCTTGGTTAATCTCCGTGTACTTCAAGTATTCTTCCTTCTGATAGTGGTATACGAATCTTATTTTCAGCACAACAAATTTTGGCTCGGTTTTCAGACTACCAATCCATACCCACGACTAAATCAAAACTTCCTATTTTGATTGGGATTAGGTCAATACTAAAATTCGTTTCTACCAAGTTTAGAGTGCAGTTCTTGATCACATCTCTAACCTTAACTTTCTTTCCGCTAGCATATTCTATTATATATACTTCGTTCAACTTTTGGGGTCTTATGTTTATCTTTGGCCTAAAATCTAGCGACACATAACTCCTATCTGCTCCAGAATCAAAAAGTACGGATGCAAGATGATTGTTTAGGAGAAACGTACCTGTGACCACATCAGGATTTTGCCTTGCTTCTTCTGTCCCAATTTCGAACACCCGACCTCGTGCCTGACCCCCTTGGTTCCCTTGATTGGTTGGTCGTGCTTGATTTGTGTAGGGCCCTTGATTTCTTCTAGGACAAGCGTTTCGGAAGTGGTTTGGGCTTCAACACTCAAAGCAAACCCGTCCTTCTCCGACTCTGCAATCCTTTGCAACATGTCCTGTCCTCTTGCACTTAAGACATGTGATACATCTCCCCAGGTGTTGTTTGTTGCACTTGTCACACTTTGTGTATGATCCTTTCCCTTTCTCGGTCGCCGGTGCCTGAATTCCATAGTTTCCTGATACTCTCTGCTCCTTACCCATCCTTCTTCCAAACTGTCTTCTAACAGGTTCCTCCATTATCCTCTTTSCTCTTGCCTTGTCACTTGTGAATGCTCCCGAACGGTTTGMAWTGTTGGTGAGCCTTGTCGCTAATTWCACTGCTTCTTGTAGGGTTTTYGGGTMAGCCRAAGTCACATTCCCTCTGATTACAGGAGACAAGCCCCAAACATATCGATCAACTCGGTTCTCCTCGGGCGTCACCAAATGTGGCACCAATTTGGCTAACTCATGGAAACGTGCAGYGTATGAGTCCACGTCATTTCCCTTCATCTGATGGTTCCACAATTCTGCTTCTAGTTTCTGGATCTCACTCCTTGGACAGTGCTCCTCCTTGAGCATTTTCTTAAACTCTTCCCATGATAGTCTATTGGCTGCATCTCGGCCTCGAGTTTGTACCTGTGTGTTCCACCAATTCAGCGCTCGTCCTTGCAGAAGACAAGCAGCAAATTCCACCTTGTTTCCTTCAGTACATTTACTTATATGAAGGACAGATTCCATTCCTTCTATCCAGGTTAACAGTCCAACCGCTCCTTCAGTTCCATGAAATTCCTTAGGCTTACAGGCTCGGAACGACTTACACGTGCATTCCCTATCTCTATTCGTGCCTGTTCCCGGGTTGTTCTCTCGGTTAGCATTCAGACCTGCCGCTATTTGGCTTACTATGTTTGGGAGTGCTGCTAGTACCTGCTCAGACACAAGTCTTGCGAGTTCGGGATCTTCCCTTCTCGGAGGCATATTTCTAAAACACAAACCATTTGAGGTTTAGTCATAAGCTATTACTATTTAAGTGTTACGACTCAGATAGCTACTCTACGCACGACATACATTATGCATTTATGTTAACGTCTTAACATAATCTTTGAGGAATTTAAACCTTCGTTACACCACTTATGCTTTCAACATATAATATCAAGGTAAACAAACATAAATTAAACATTCAATTCATGATTTCCAAATCATCAGTGTTTATCATAAACATTCAAACCAAAAGAAAAGGACTACATTGTCCACAGCATGCTTCACCTAGAATCGATCAATCATCAACAAGAGCCACCAGAAAACCTCATATGAGCTCATCAATCAAAGAAGACCAAACGTCAAATATTTTCATGTCTTTGGATGCAAATGCTTTGTACTCAACGATAGAGAATATCTTGGCAAGTTTGACAAGAAAGCCGATGAGGGAGTCTTTCTGGGGTATTCTCAAACCGTCAAAGCCTACAGAGTCTACATCAAAAGGACTAGAATTGTTATTGAAAGCATCAACGTGTCCTTCGATGACTCTACCCCAATGACTTCTGGACACAACAATTCTGAACTCGAACTTCAACGAAGAGCATCTGATTCAGCACTTAGCAAACCCAGTGAATCGGAGTTGGCTCAATTATTTGAAGACATCTTCGAAGAAGAAGTAGTTTCTGGACATGAATCTAATGCAAAATCTATATCCAGAAGCGATGAAGATCATGCATTCTCCAATGCTGTAGGTACATCTCTTACAGAAGCTCATGCTACATCATCTACTTCTCCTATGTCTTCAAATCCTACTCAAGAACCAGAGTCTAACTCTAGAGAAGATCTCGTCGAGGGGAGCAAGCAGTTCCATCAGTCGATGAAGAAATGCATCCTGTTGCTTCAGAACCTCAATCAA